ATTCAGCGACGCATAAAATCCTCGCATTTCGTCATTCGTGTATACATTTATTATCACGTTTTTGTACCAACTCTAACTCATTGAGCAGCGCGTCTACTGGTCATGCCAAGGCCGTAGGCTGAGCAAATTCCTAGGGGGGGGGGGGCAGTGGCGGATCCAGGATTTCAAGGAGGCGGTGAGAAACAGGTCTGGGTGTCCTCCCACAGAAAATTTTGAAAAAGGAAGTTGATCGCAGGAGATGATATTTGAGGCACCTTTGAGTATATGTACAGCCTCCATTCTGACTACGACCATTCTCTTTTAGTAGAGCTTTTTCTCTCTCCAAAATCTAGGGGGCAGCTCTCCCGCAGGCTACGGCCCTGCATGCCATCTTAACATTGCTATTTGCGTGCGTGCGCGTCGGTTTACCGCTGCGTTGTTTACATGTTTTTAATTTAGTTTATTCATATTTTTGTTTGCAGACTAGTAAGTAGACTCACGTTCAATGTCTACAATGTTGGTGTGATAAGATGTATTGGCAAAGAATCCTGCCGATAAATAACTGCATTTATTAATATATTCGATCGTGATAAATATTGTTGGTTGAGTTCTGAGCTAAAACTAGCTCCAACCCACCATCTGTACGGCTGTCTAATCAGTAGTTCTTTGTTATTTATTCTAAGCCCACGATCTATTTTAGCGGAAGCCAAATGTTTTCCTACATTCTTCCCCCGGACATGTCAATAAATGCTATATTGTTACAACAATTGTGATACTCGTTCGCGTTTCGTCTGGCGATCTATATCTTTGGAGCATTTCAAATGACCGGTTGGTGTCAGCCAAAGTTCACCCTACCTATAGTGGCAGAGCCATCTCTCTTTCACTCTATCTAGAGTAGCAGATCCCCCGCTCTTTTACGTTACCTAGAATGGCAGAGTCGCCTTTGTTTCACACTATCTAGAATGGCAGAGCCGCCTTTGTTTTACGCTATCTAGAATGGCAGAGCCGCCGTTGTTTCACGCTATCTAGAATAGCAGAGCCTGCTTTCTTTCACGCTACCTAGAATGGCAGAGCCTTTCTCTTGCAGCTTTGGTTGACAGGTGGATACGGGAGGGAGATGGATGTCGGTGGCATTTGGTTCCAATCGCCCTATAAAATTAAGGAACATCACAACAATCAGAACAATCACGCAAAAATGTAAAGTAGTTTCTTTTTTAGTTTCCTTTCGGGGATTTTTCTCGACACGGTTAAGAAACAAGACATTTTAAGCAAGAGTAAGATAATATGATGACACGGTGTATCACTGTACATTATGGATACTCGACTTCTGATATCATCCCATGAATATATATTAATGATATATCATAATTATTACATAGTTAGAAGACGAGATCATGTGGGCGAGACTATATTATGTGCCACTATGCATTAATGAGACTGCAGACATATACATAACAGTTGATGTGAGAGAAACTCGATCTAAACTATGTTAAAAAATATATCGATATATATATATATATAAATATATATGATACATGTATCGATTTTCTTACATACTGATTACTCTTTACGATTTCGATTAAGATAACGTAGTTGGATAACACGTAAGAGACGGCGCTTCGATCGCACACTAAACCACCCACGTACGGCGCTACCATCTCAGGATGAAATGAGCGTCCGCACAAGACTCCCATAATATACAAACAATAATTATAATAAGTATAAAAAAGATAATGCGGATGATCCTTTTCAAACTTAATACAAGAAAGTATCCCGTAATTTGCTACTAATGTCGGCGTCATTATAATGTGACACTTGTCTGGCTCTGGCTAGCGATCGAAGCGCTCCTCTGCGTGCGAATATACGAACCGGAAAGCGATCGCCATTCGAACGATTGCATTGCATCGAAAGTTCGGTGTGCGTGTAGAGCTGCTGCAGCAGCGCCGCCTGGAGGGGAGTCCAGCGAATAGCGGCGTAGTTCTCAGCGTACGTCTGGTTTTCTGACGTCAGGTCGTTGTTATAGCTGATCAAGAGTAATATATATAAT